ATAAATACCTATAATAAATAAAAATAAATAAATATTAAAAAAAAAGTTCCCTATTAAGAAACAAAGGATAGTCTAACTAGGATACAAACATGGCTTAGAAAATTAATTTCTGGATAATCTACTTTTCTACATTCATCCAGTTTTGTTAAAATATCTGTAATAGAAAGAAAAAGTACATTGGTCATAAATGCTTAACTGAAAACACAAAATGATGCTTACCTGTGGGACTCAGTGTGGCATTTTTTTCCAGGAATCATGGAGCCAGCACACATTTATTCAAAGATGATTTCTGTTTAACAATTCCTTTCTCCTTGTGTCAACTTACAATTCCAGACTGTATGAGAATATAAAGCTTAAATGGCAAAAGACAGAGAGCTGGAGCCCAGTGTATAGATCACAGTAGGGTTGGTCAGATGGAGAGAGAAGATATTTTGGCTGCTTAAGATCCTCTGTTTTCAATACCAGAGTAATATCAAACACAAATTACCTCTGTACTGTGAAAATGTAGATTCACTGCTACTCCATGGCAGAGAAAACTGAAACCACACAACAGCTCTTGACCAGTTTGAAACCACTCTGACACTATTTTTAGAATAAGTTTTTAAAAGTTTGCTATTAAAATCTTTAATATAACTCTTTTAATTTCCATTATTGAGAAAGAGATAATTTAATTTTCTTAATTGCCCTCATTTTTAAAGATTCGTCTGGAAAAATTTTGACCCATGGAGAGGCTGCAGCACAACAGTAAAACCTCAGAAAAGGAGCTGTTAATGACAATGAGGTTAAACATCTCAGGTCTAGGGCAGTAGCTTAGAAGCAGCAGAAAAGTAATGCTCCTTGCTGAGTTTAGCAATCACACACACACACACACACACGAGAGAGAGAGAGAGAGAGAGAGAGAGAGAGAGAAAGAGAGAGAGAGATTAGCTATGAGAATAAGGACTTTTGTAGGTTTAAAACCTAAATCCACTTAACTGTAAACAGTAGGAACTTATAAGTCTGAAAATAAAAGACTTTTAAGAAATTCATCCCTACAGCTAAGTTCTATTTCTCCAACCAAATTTATCTTTTTTTCTTCTCTTAGATATTAAGTTAATATCTATAACATTTTGAAAACCATACATCGAAAAAATAGTACCTTTCAAGGCAAACCCAATTACCACCTTTGCCCTTCCAATCAAAACTGAGACTTTAGCCACATCAGTGTTAGTGAGCCTTTTACATTCCTTTAGCACATAATTCATTGAGTTTTACATATTTGTGTGTCCACTTTAAATGTTTTTGTAGCACATGTCAGGGGTGGGAATATAGCTCAGCAGCTTAAGGGCCTGCCTGGTAAGCACAACATCCTGAGTTCAATACCAAGTACTTGAAAAAACACTTAACTGTCAACTTGATTGGCCTAAGAGCCACCTAGTAGTGTGCTTCCGGGCAGTCTAGGTGGGCAATGGAGGCAAGACCTCGATATCTAAGAACTGAGGGCATGTCCTTGATCTCTAGATGCTCAAAGTGAGACACAATCATAAAATAGATCACCTTATAATATAATTCTTACATAGGCTGAGGGACTACGGGCATTTTCACAGGAAGTGTCAACAAGGAAACAACTAAGCTTGTTTTTTCATCCCCAAATTCTAATTGTAAGGACAGGGTAGGAGTAGGTACAAGGTAATGTCTTAAATAGGAAAAATAGTTAAGAGTACATTTCTAAGGAGTGTGGCTGATCTTAAAAAGTTTGATTTTCTTTAAAGGTTAATGACTGAAGCAGAATAAACTAAATGGTGGGTTCCAAGTAGAAACAAGAATACCAGAGAGCGAGAGACAGCGAGAGAGAGAGAGAGAGAGAGACAAAGACAGACCGACAGACCGACAGACACCACTGTTAGTGCTTGAGGGAAAAAATGGCCAGAGGCAAGGGTACTTGTACACCTCAGGAAAGCCTAATAAGATGATATAGATTAAAAATTAATATCTATTTTGCTACTTTAGAACAAGGTACCTTATGTTGATATTGTTAATTATCTGAACTTAGCTTATCTAAGGAGTAACTAAAGTTAGGAGAATGCTAGCAAGTTTGCATGGATTGGAAACAAGGCAACAACTTTAACTTCTCTTTCAGACTTAAATTCTCTGCAATTAATGACAGAAATCTGGACTTCCGAAGACAGAGTGAAGGATCACACACTGGGAAGGGAAATGGATGAAGTCACCAAGCAGCTGCAAAAAAAAAAAAAAAAGAAAAAGAAAAAGAAAGAAAGAAAGCACAAATGTTAAAACGCAGATATAGAGAAGCTAGAAGAGGGCTGAATAAACAAAGTACATCTGGCTTCCTTACACAGTTCCTGACACTACTAACATTATGTTGGCTATTTTATGACAGCTTATAAGAAGTAGATGGTTTACCCCCTCCCATTTCTTTCAAATGTTGCTTTTCTCTCGTGAGTTCAAGACTCTCGAGGTCAATAGCCCCTCCTTTCTTGTCATTTACATTTTCCTAACTTCATCACACCCAGCGAAGTCCTAGGTATACAGTAAAACTCAACAAAATCAGGACTAAATTTAAATATGACAAAGAATTCCACTTCTCTCAATAACATTCTCCAGTTTCACACCAAAACTCAATTCTCAGAAAAAAAGTAACTCTAATTTTGCATATCAACTGCAAGTAAAACCAGTCTCAGAATTCTTGGCTACAAAAAGCATACAAAACGTTACAATGTACAGCTGACTTTCTGAAAGTGTTGTGTGAAGGTTTATCAACGAGAAAACACCTGGCAAGCCTGGCGAGAATGAGCCTGTGGCGAATTTCTTACTGGAAGAAAGCCAAATACCACCTTCACTGAGGCAGACAGAATGGGAACTGAAAACTAAGGATGTACGACTTTGGAAGCAACAGTTCCCAACAGCTTTCACTGTCACATGCTAGAAATCAAACACTTTAACCTCATACTTAGCATTACATACATGGGAAAGGTAAAAGCAGTGATTACAGAGCACATCTACGACTGGACAGCGAAAACCGCAAACGTGGAAGGATGCTGAAACGCACACTCCTGCAAAGCGCACCTCCCTGCACGCCACCTTCCCATTAGTTAAGCTGCTCTCTCTAACCAAGCCCCCTCCCGTTGAACCCTAATCTTCGCTCCTCTCGCCACTGTCCCCTCTGAGCCCGTTTTCCCCTTGGATCGCTGCACCTCTGGATCTGATCACACCCACACTCGCGCGCTGCCGGCAGCAGTGCTCTCCAGGATCTTCAGCCTGGCAGGTCTCCCTGACAGGAACTGTGCTATACCAACATTTCTTCAAGACTGCCATGAACTTGAGAGAAATCTCTCCACAAATTTACTCTGCCAAAACTGGGTTTGAAGTTGTTGAGGTGAGAAAGGATTCTGGCTGAGCACTGCGAACTAGAACTCAGAAAACAGATGATCCAAATTTCAAATTCCACTAAGTGGCTGATTTAAAAAAAAGAAGAAAAAAGAAAACAGAAAAGGCACTTACCTTGGTACCCACCTGCAATCCCATGAGTGGTGCACCCCTGTGCCACCTTGCCAGGTCAAGACCAGCCGGAGCAATTCAGCAAGAGCAGGTCTCAAAAGTAAATACACGACTAGTGGATGAGTAAGTAAGCAAGGCTGGGGCCCCGGGTCAGTGGTAAGGCACTCAGCGAGCACCTCGAGCTTGCGGGTCCAATCTCTGCTGACCAGAGAAAAAGAACCACCACAAGTAGGGAAAGAAGACTAACTTCTCAGCAACAGAAAGGAAAAAGCAGAAGCCGTCCCAGAAGGACTGAGACAAGTCAGGTCCCTGTGGCAAGTGGTGGTGGGACGTGGCAAAAAAATAAACACCGGAAAAGGGCTCAGGGTTCACTGCGCAGACAGCAGCAGCAGCAGCACAGGACTTAGAGCCAAGTGCGGCCTGGGCTCAAGTTCGTACCTGCAGCCAAGTGCTCTGCAGCAATTAAGAACACACAGGCAGCGCTGGCACTGCCATCTAATTTGTGACTACAGCATTAAGTGACACGAGTAGACCTCTTAGAACATGAAGCAGCAATCAGCACCTGGCAGCACTTGTAATTAAGGGAAGAACAACCCAGAACAGAACATTAGCCCACCAGTTTAGAATTCAAAACGCATATTGTTAAACCAAAGAGCAGACTCTCAAGCTAGAGAAAGGTGCAAGACTCACACTCAAGTCCATAAACTGACCAATTTAGTAAACATTAACATTTAAAACTACACAGCTTAACAAGTAAGGTAAGGGTTGGGGAGATGGCTCAGTGGAATAAGCACTTCCCTGGCAAGCAAAAGGGCCTGAGTTCAATCCCTGGTTTTGCCAAAAAAAATACAAGTAATGTAATATTACCACTAGGTGGCAACGATACAGCCGGTTCACAAAAAAAAAAAAAAAAAAAATCAAAAACAGCGAACAAATCCAGACAAGTTTCAAGCTTTTTAGTACTTAACTTTCATTTACAAAAATTATATGTAATTAATAGCAGAATTTATGATCTGACTCAGTATGTATGCTAACTTATTCTTTTCCTCACTAACCAAAGGTAATTTATGCAATGAACACAATTTTTAAACACTTTAATCACAAATCTTTTGGAAAATCAGTACAAATACACAGTGAAGATAACAGAAATTATGGGAAGTTGAAAATCTTTTAAAAGTTTAAAAATTTGGAGAAAGGCACAAAGTAGTTCATCAAAAACAAATGTTTCAAAAAGGAGAATCAACACCTTATAATTTTAAAATTTTTGGACCATAATAAGGAAAGGTTTGGTTTTATATTACAAATTATATTAATTTTAATATATGCAAAAGATTTTCAAAGTGTTAAACAGTTTATTAAATTTACCAAAATTGTTACCTATATTACATGTCAAAGTAATCCCTTCTACAATTATCAAACAATAAACAATGAAATTCCTAGCTGACACTTTCCAGTTACTTCTGCTTTCTCCATAAAAAGATTCAAACATGATTTATTTTAAATACTAAAAACTTTATTCTTTTCATTTCTTCTTTTCATGTCAAACAAGAACCAGTTATGACAAAAGTTTTAAGATATAGGTAATATTGTGAAATATTCAGTAAATAAGCAAATCTTTAAATTCCCTAGACATTATTCCCCAAATACAATGTGAGAGCTCATATCATTATATAAAGCATTAAGCAATCTGTATAATTAGATAAATAATACATGTGTTCAATGACCCAATTCATAGCAAAACATCAAAAATTAAAACAAGCTTATTTACTTTGTATAAATAACCTATTCTCCAAAATTTTAACTTCATTTCCTACAATGAATTGATCAGAATACATCTTCTATGTATCAGCTTTTCAATGGTTTCTCATTCTGCAGTAACTTACTATATTTCCAGAAAAATCTCCCCTTCTTGCCACTTACACAAATGTAAAACAGAAGTATACTTTGTATGTTATTTTTATCATCAACAGATCATTATTTCCCCACTATTACTAAACTTCATATTTTAGGTTATAGATCACCCTGAAGCCTAACCATTGAGGTCTTTCTCATCCTGTCAACCAATACATATACCCAAAACAACTATATAGCATAAGAAAAGATTACTGTGGCAGCCCTCAAAATTCAAGCAAAAGATTTTAGGAAAGTGCTTAAACTCTGTTTACTGTTATTTCTAACTTCTGCTAGCGAACTTGGGGAATGTCACTGTTTTTGAGATGACTGTAGATTTACACAACTGAATTATATTGGTATTTATACAGAATCAGATTCTGGTTATTTGAACAAATAAAGGGTCAAGACAGATAATGAAAAGTTTCCAAGCTATGCCAGATAATATTTTTTTTAAAAATCTGTAACCCACAAGACTGTGTCTGAGAATTCAGAAAACAAAAAGATAGCAAAGACAATGAGTATGAATTAGCAAAACAAAGATTAAGTTAAAATGCCATTACTGACTTGAGTCTGTGAGCTTTTGCTTATTTCTGATGGTGGCCCTAAGTTTGCGGATCACCAGTCTATCAGGTAGGATCATATCACCTTGTTGCTCCAGATAATCCAACAAGTTTTCAGTCCATTGGAGCGCAGCTGTGTGATTTATATGTTTCTCTGGAATTAGTTCTATGTCCTCCTCTTCATTATCACTAGATTCATCTGTCTGACCTTGTGCTCTTCTGATGATTTCACTGTCAGTTAATACTTCATAACCCGGTTCGGTACTGTCTACTTCAAGCCACTTCTCAATGTTTTCAGTAGTAACATTTTCCAATCCTTTGGTATGTTGTAAAATGGTGGCGACAGCAGCCACAGAAATATCTTCATCATCAAAGTTCATACTTTCTTTTTCCTCTATGGTAGGAAGAATTTGCTTCCAAGCCCTACTAATAGTAACCGGTTGTACTAGGTTCCATGCCATTGCTATTTCATAAAGTGCATCCAGCAGAGTCAGCTTCTTCCAGAATGATTTTAAGTCATTACCTTCTTCCAGGTTTTTCTGGAGAAGACCTGCACGATAGTTTCTCTTCATGGTTGCTATGACTCCCTGATCCAAGGGCTGAATCAACGAAGCCACGTTAGGTGGCAAATATTTAGCAAATATTTGACCATCATCTGAACGAAGGACGTTTTCATTTGGATGTGTTGGTGAATTATCCAACAAAAGTACAGCTTTTTCTTGCAAACCTTTGGATCTTAGGTACTCTCGAACCTGTGGCACAAAGATCTTATCAAACCATTGTCTGAAAATGGAAAGATCCATCCATGCACCTTTTTGGCTGAAATAAGAAACTGGCAGGTTTAAAGTGTCAGTTGACTTGAAGGAGCGAGGTTTCTTTGCTTTGCCCACAACACAAAGTTTAAGCTTGTGTGAACCTGTCGCATTGGCACAACACATGATAGTAACTCTTTCTTCAACTGCCTTTTGCCCCGGGACAGTGCATTTGCCTTTCATTAGTGAAGTCCTGGAAGGCAGACACTTCCAAAACAGTCCAGTTTCATCCGCGTTGTAGATCTGTTCAGGCTCTAAGTTCTCGTGCTCAATAAAATCTCGAAAGTTGTTACAAAAATCTTCCACCGCTGTCTCGTCTCCATTTAATCTTTCATTTCTAATGTTAATCTCTCTAATGCTGTGCCTCTGCTTAAATCGAGTTAACCAACCTGCGGAGGGGTTAAAATCACCATCCATTCCCAAAGCATAAAAGAAGAACTCTGCCCTTTTTGCACAAATGGGTCCAGACACGGGATTCCCTTTTGCTCTCTGCTGATTAAACCATTCCAGCATTGCTTTATCCAGCTCCTCATACATGGAGGGCTTCATAGATTTCCTCTTGGCCAGAAGACTTGTAGAATCAGAACTACTTGCATAAGTTATAATCTTTTCTTTATTTTTTCTAATATCCCGAACTGTTGTTTCACCAATTCCATAAATCACAGCCAGCTGTTTGGAAGAACCTCCATCTTCAAGTTTCTTTATTATATCAAGCTTATCTTTAATAGTCAGCACCACACGCTTCCGTTTCCCTGACATGGTGATGTTCTGGAGCTTCCCTTCTACTAATGCTGTAGTAATCCACAAATCCTTCCTTGTCTTTGACTCACTTCAGCGAAGTCTTCACACAGTATCCCTACTTCACAGCATCCCGACGGCCCTGCCCCCTGCCCGGCTGGCTCGGCAGGCAGAGACTGCAGCGCAAGGCGAAGGGGCAAGTTTGCGGCCTTTCACTTCGCAGGGCAGCAGAGGAGGCCCCAACTCACCGCGGATAATCTGGATTACAGGCATGTGTTTCGTTACCAGGGGCCGCGAGGAAGACCATAACCGCACCGTGGCGTCCAACCTCGTTCGCGGGCGCCCAGGACGCCGCGAGGCTCTCGGGCAGCGCTGCCACACCCCGGAGTCGCAGCGGGGAGCGGGGAGCGGGGAGCGGAGGCTCCGCTGGGCTCCTCCCGGGGACAACCGCGTCGGACTCTGTCTCGGCGCCAGGCCGCCGCCGCCGCCGCCGCCGCCGCGCTGGGTTCAGCCTGGAGTCCCCCGGCCCCGCTCGGCCCGCGGCACCTCTCAACCGCCTCCGGAGTAACCCGCAGCCCGCGCCGCTCTCCCGCCGCCCCGCGGAAGCCGCTCCACCCCTCAGCGCAGGCGCGGGGAAGACGCGCCCGCCCACCGCAGCCCGCCCCGCCTCGCCGAGCTTCCGAGAGGCGGGACTTCCTCTGGCCCCGGAAGGGGCGGGGAGCCGCTGGGACAAGGTCCGGGCGGAAGTGGAGGCGGGCGGGGCGCCGCTGGGGCAGGGTC